TGGCAAAAGCTGCCACTTTGAAAAGTTCATGGAGCAGCTCCTTGCCAAGTGATGGATTTAAACACACATTTAGTGGAGTGGAGTCACCCTGTCTGCCTTTGTCAGTGCGACTTTAGGTGCAGAGCCCTTCCGCCTTTTGCCAGGGCTGCTGAGGTTCATGCTGAAATCTCCCCTCCATGGAGATGGGGGCCAGACTTTGTCCGGGACCCCGCTAAGCCTCACAGCAGGCCTTGCAGGCGGGAAGCAGCTGACAGCTGCTGTCAGCGACTGGCCTCTCTCTCTCTCTCTGAGCCTCTGCCAGGCGCTCGGCTGGCCGCCTGTGATCCACCGCGGAGGTCGCCTTAGCCGGCATCTGGTGGTGCAGATGTAAATCATAACCGGACAGGCTCCCTCTGACAGAGACAGCATCTGAGCATCCCTGGCCAGGCAGGGCGTCTGATGACTAATCCCTGAGTAGGGTGCAGGGGCAGGGGAGAAGAGCTGGTTAATTGAATGGTTGCTAATTCATCTATAATTATTCATCTTCTCACTCTCTTTTCTCTCTCTTTATCTTATGAGGTCTAGTCCTTTGGAGCTGGGACTGCTGGGCCTTAGAAATAGGTGAGGAGGCAGCAGAGAAGATGAGCCAAGAGCCAGGTTCGAGCCTTGACTCGGTTTATTAGCAGTGTGAGGCTACTTCACATCTGGACCTCAGTTTCCTTATCTGTAAAATGGATTTTGTGAGGCGTCGACGAGATATTTGTAAAATGTGGAGTGCAGTGCTTCGCCCATTCCAAGTATTCAGTAAATGCTGACCAGTGTTATCCTGTCCCCCGCTCTCCCTTTATAGGCTCCTTTGTACGTTCAGCAAGTATACATTAGTCATCCAGTGTAGGCAGTGTGGAGAGCGGCTTCTTCCAAAGTGGTGAGCGATACTATTCGAGTGTCCGTTCTTCACCAAACAGCCCAGTGTAAAGCCGGTGACATCTTTGCTGTGAAGGACAAGAAAGAAAAGCGGGGCAGGGGCTAGAGGGACTGTGGGTGGGGGCAGGGTTCTGCTACGGACCATACTGTGGCTAAAGGGACCTAAGTAAATGAGGGGTGAGCCGTGCTGGTGCCAGGGAGGAAGGGGTTCCAGCCAGAGGGAGCGGCTGGTACGAAGGTCCTGTGGTGGAACGTGGCCTCGTGGGCTCGAGGAGGAGCTAGGAGGTCGGCATGGCCAGAGCATGGAGAGTGGGCAGGCCCGAAATTGGAGAGGTCCCCGGGAGCGTGGTGCTTGGAGGGGGCTCTGGGCTTCTTTAAGGTGGTGGGAGGGCCATGAGGTTCTGCATGGAGGAGCCACGTGTTGTTTGTGAGGAAACGCCCTCAGTTGGGAGGGTGAAAAGCCTATAAGCAGTCTCTTCCCTTAGCCTTGGAAGGACGGCCCCAGTAAGGCGGGCTGGCCCCCTTAGTCTGAGTGTCCCTCGCTGGATCTGACCTATGGTGGTTATTACTGTGACTTCCTATTTCCCTCATCCCTTCTACACTTATTAATGGGAATTTTTCCGTAAGGAAGCACTTTCCCTTTTCCCTCATTTACTTATTTATTCAACAGTTTGTCATGCCAGTTTGGACTCACAGGCATTTGTTGTGTTCTCTGGGTTTCAAGCCAGCACTATTTTTGTTTTGTTGCTCAAATTATTCTACCTCTTGTCATTGGGAACTCGGTCCTTCAGGTTGATTCCTGCACCCTTTTGACAGGCCTCCATCATATCGTGAACACTTCTCTACTTTCTGGCAACTCAGGACTCTCCAGGTTTATCTTGTGTTTCCCCCCTGGAATCGAGCACTTCTTCAGGGAGCCCTGGTTCCCTTTGCTGGCTGATGGTGTTTAGAAACCAAGATCTGGATGTGCTCACTGCTGTCGGGGTGCACTTGGCCGCTCCTGTCTTTCTTAGCAGATGGAGCTAGGAGATAGAAGTGTAGACGTTGTCCCACACGCCTGCAAATCATCACTCCGCCCGCCCTGCCTCCCTCCCTCCATATTTCTGGGTGTCTGAATCTGTACCTTTCTGTATCTATGTCTAATCTGTTTATCCAAGCCTGAGCCCAGTACAGAGCCTCAGGGTGCATTTCAGCCTTCCCACTGTCCTTATTTGAAACTTCTCCCTCTGATAGGGAGACCCCTTGCTGTTACTAAAGTAATTTCAAAATTGCCGATCCGTCCCCTGTGACAAGCATTCTTCAGCTAGAATGCCGTATTTGCATACTGTTGTTTTTTTTTCCTTTAACCTTATAGAATCCAGTAAAAATAATCATTTCGTAGTTACTTAGGCTAGTTCTCTTCTTCCCCAGCCCCTTCAGTGTGGTGGTGGTATTCATCTGTAATCGAGTTGTGTGCTTTTGTTGCCATTTATATTGCATTTTAAGTCTACACACACACACACACACACACAAAATTGATTTTAATTGTTTGCTTTTTGGATGTGTGAACTATTATCGAGGTTCCAAGAGTCAGGGTTACGCAGATAGACTCGGAGAAACGTGCAGCCTTCTCACCCCTGCTGCCTCGTCCCGTTCCCACTTCCCCGTCATTCCCGCCCTTTTCCCACCCACCACCCTCTGTGGGTAGCTGGAGTCTTTCGTTTCTGGTTTATTCCTCCTGGATCTCTTTTGCACAGATAAGGCAATTCATGTTTATTTTTATCTTTTAAAGTGTATTTTATTGGTTATGCTGTTACAGTTGTCCCAGTTATTTTCTTCTAGCCCCTCCTCGTACTATACAGAGAGTTAAGGTATTCCAGCTGCTGTTTGCAGTTTGCTTTTCCCACTCAGCGGTCCATCCTGGAGAACACTTCACATCAGCTCAGAGAGATCGTCCATGATGAGCTCTTTAAACTTTGGTGATCAGAAAGAAAGTTTAACAGCTCAAGAATCAGTTTTAGAATTCTCTCAGCCTATTGATGATGGTGATGATGATGATAAATAGCATAAGCATTGTCATTAATTGAGCATCTACAGCACAGGTGGCAAACACAAGGCCCAAGGGCTGAATCCGGCCCTCCACCTTGTTTTATCCAGCCCGGCACCTTGTTTCTACCTGGTGGCAGTGCTGCGCCCCTTGCCCCTAGTTAAGGAGTAGTTACATTTATACAGTCCTGAAATTACATTCGGCCCTTTGAAGGCAACTGCAAGGCTGATGTGGCTCCCAGAGAGAATGAGTTTGACACCCCGGCTCTACAGTGTGCTGTGCTCTGTGCTAAACATTTGAAATAGACGATCTCCATGAGTATTTTCTGGAGCCCTATGAGGTAGATATTGGCTTCAGTTTACTGATAAGGAAGCTGAACCAGTAATATTTGAAAATTTGCCCAAGGCCATGAAAAAATGGAGCCTCCATCCCTCTTTCCCACGTTGGTGCTTTGTGAAGGGCGCACCAGCACCGTGACAGAAGCTCCAGGCCGCAGCAAAGCCGTGTGGTCTTTTAAAACCAGGGCATGCCCCAGCCCCTAAAACCCTCCTGATTGTGGGTCAGCAAGAACGTGAAGGCACTTCACTGCCTGTTTGGTCCAAAGAAATGGCCCTTCCTTTTGAGGACGCTGAGTCCTGCTTCTAAGACAGGCGACAAGGGGCATGCTAGGTGGGATCTGCTACCCGGGATGCAGTTCACCGCCAGCCAGTGCAGCCCGGCCCATCACTGGGAGGGGACGTGACACCACGGGGCTGTTTGGTTAGCAGCATACTCAGTCAAGCCCGTGTTCCAGCAGTGTCTTTTAAAGCTGTTTGTACAGCAGAAGTGGAGGAAGAACTTCTTTGAGCAGGAGACTGGCTTCTGCTTCAAAGAGTGTCAGACGCTGGCAGAGAGGCAGCACTGTGGGTTGGCTGCAGGCATGGCTCCTGGGGTCGGAATGCCCCGGGGCCTCGCGCCAGGGCCAGACTGCTCATTCCGAGCCCCTGGGCAGGCGGCTTCACCTCCCAAAGCACATAATCTGTGGAATGGGGATGGGAACCGTACCCGTCGCTGTCGAGGTCCCCAAGACCATCCCCAGGTTCAGTGGTTTGCTGGGAGGATTCATAGAACTCAGCCTGTAGTCAGTCGAGTCCTACAGCTGTGATTGACGACGGCGAAAGGAACCAAAGCAAAACCAACGGAGGGAAAAGGGGCACACGGAGCGAAGTCCAGGGAAAACCCAGTGCTGACCTCCAGGAGCCCTGTCTCCCAGCCGTGCTGCACAGGCTGCGCTTGAGTCCCCAGCAACAGTTGTGACGACCCGTGTGAGACGTTTTCTAGTGGGGATGCTCGTCAGAGACTCGGTGCCCAGCGTTTTCCTGGGAGTGGGTCAGTCACAGAGGCACCCTCTCCCACACTCTCAGGGAAAAAGCAGGTGTTCCACATAAACTGTGCTGTCTGCATAAAGAGTTTGGGCGCCGTAAACCACTATTATGAGAGGGTGGTACCAACCCTCCTGGAATCCAAGTTCCCCAGTGCCAGGCAAGCAGGGGCCAGCTTTGCCAGCAAGCCTTCCTCTAAGGATCGCAGTCTCGGGCCTGTTGCATTCATTTGTTTCTGCACACCGCCCCATTGGGTAGTTGCTGGGTAGATTAAAACAGATGAGCCGTGTGGAGCGCCAGCCACGCCGTCTAGGACAGTAAGCACCCAGTGAATGTCAGCAATTACTTTGACAGCCAGGGAATGAATTTTGAATGGCTCGTTAGCACCTGAAGAGCAGGCTCCATCCATCATCCATCTACTCACAGATTCATTCCCGTTTAGCACGTTTGGACTGAGCCCTGCTGGTGCAGGGGCGGAGGTGGCCTCTCTGGGGCTTTGGAAGCAGCGGGATTAGCCACTCCCTTCCTAGAGGAGGGTGCCTGTGGGCTCCCGACTTGGGGTGGGCGGTGGTAGTAAGAAACTACTGCGGACTTCCAGGCAAATGTAAGCGGGCCCATTTGCACACTCAGAGCTAGTGGGGTGGGTATGCTGTGGTCAGGAAACTTAACTTCCTAACGTCTTGCTCTTTATCCTGTTTTTCCTCCCTCAGCCAAGGCAAAATCGAAATGCGGCCCAACGTTCTTCCCCTGCGCCAGCGGCATCCACTGCATCATCGGCCGCTTCCGGTGCAACGGGTTTGAGGACTGTCCCGACGGCAGCGACGAAGAGAACTGCAGTGAGTGCTGGGAGCGTGCATGCTGCGGTCCCCGTTCGTTGCAGCCGCCCACCCCTCTGTGCCGGCCACTGGCACCTTCGGGTTGCTCCCACCCATAGGCTCCAGCATTTTCTGCTGTGACCCCAGTTCCCTTCTTTACCACTTCTGTCTGGTGTGAATGCTTAGCTGCCCTTTATCGGGACCCTCCTAAGCGCACCGGGCCTTGGGCGAACCTTGTTTTCAGTTCTGACAGTAGCCGAGCAAATGCAGGTGTGTGGGTGACAGGTAAGGAATCTGAGGCGTGGAGACACAGGTCAGCTCATCCACTGTCACACGGCGCACAAGTAGCAGAGCCAGTTCTCTCATCTTTTTTCAAAAAAAGACATTTACGTATTAACTGTATACATACTATGAGAATATATTTTGAAAAAATACATTCAAACAGTACAGAAAGCTAAAGGTTTTGGTTTGTGACCACCCCAATGTCTTTTACCTGCTGTATAACATTCCGAGGTGTCAACACAGACACACACCTTCCCTCTGGTTCTCCCCACCCCACCTCTCCTCTTCGCAGTCGTAGTGTTGAGTGCCACTCCTTGGCCTGGGCACATGCAGCCCCTTCCTCGCTGGCGTCGCTTTGTCCAGAATCACGTCACCCACCGCGGCTTCAGTGCCCTTTGAGTGTCTCTTCCTTGCTCCTCCTCCTCCTGTCCCATCTCCCCAGCAGGCTGCTTTGCCGCTGCTGCCCACTGTGGTCCCCGCTCGCTGTGTCTTCTTTGCTCTCCCCTTGAATGTTTAGACTACAGGGGCCTTTGTAACTGTAGTCGGCTCTGGGCCAATGTACACATTTGTTTTCTGTGTCTGCAGATTTTTATAACATTTTCTTTTCTGATTGTTAATGTAACTTGCAAAATATGGGAAGGTATAAAGAGGGAGTCAAAGCTGCCCAGAAAAAAACACTTAATATTTGGACTGTTTTGTGCCGGTCTTCCCCCCACCCCCCACCGCCCCGTCTCTCTTTTTCTTCTCTAATGTGCCTCATTGAGTTGTCCTCTTTCCTGTGACCATGCTGTCATGTCATCATTTGTTCTCAAAACATACGTTTTAGTGACTTCAGCGATTGCTTTGATCAATTGATTTTCTCCTATCCTGTCGGTTCTATTTTAAGGCCCCGCAGAGGAGGGTGGCTGTCCGCTGTGTTATTTATGTCCTCCAGGGAGCAGCCAGTGCTGTCCCCTCCCGGCAGGGACGCGGGAGTTCATCACTCTCCCACGTGCCTTCTCCCGTTGCCTTATTTCATCTTCTGGGTCCCCGGTGGCAGAAATACAGCCCAGCCACTGGGTTATCGAATGGCTGGTGCAGTGGCTGAGACCCACCTTCCCGGGGAGGTTGCGTATCAACGACCGGAGCGGGCCTGACTGAGCAGAGTGACTCCTGAGCGGGAAAGTCGGGCCTCACCTGTGTGTTTGCCCTGACTGGGCAGGAGGTGGGCGTGCTGCGTGACCTCGCCCAGTGGTTTCCTAGTCTCTGAGAGCAGTGCCGAGAGCCTGCTTCCCGGGGTTGTCGTGAGACGTAGACGAGATGGTATCTGAAAAGTGCTTCGTGCAGAGGCTGGCACGGAGTGATTGGTTATAGAGGTATGTAGTGACTTCAGACAAAACTGTGAGTGATTAAGAGGAAGACCATAGTTACTAGGGTTTCGCCTTTGGCTTAGGATGTCCAAGAATATCCTTTCTTTCTGCACTGAAAACATCTTTATATTTGGAATTAGCCAGCTGGACTCAGTTTAGATGAATCCAGAGCACCTTGGCAGTGTGCTGACTGATCAGCACCTGATCAGCGTGTTGACCTTGACCTATTAATGTCATCGAGCTTTTCCGTAGCCTGTGTGATCTGGTGTTCGTCGGCCTTGACATCCACAGTGGACACAGGTGTATTGTTGTCTTCTGTCTTCTTCATGGCCAACCCAGTAGTCGGGGAGCTCGATGGCCTAGTGGTCAACCTTGATTCTCCTGGGGGTGCCCCTCCAACGATATCTGGGCTGCCTCCGGAACTCCAGTGTCTTGGGCCGTTGGAATGTGGGTGATGATGTACGGATCTTGGAGTTTTTGTGACTGGGGACACCTTTCAGCACTGCTTTCTCTGCCTTCAAAGCCTTCGTTCTGGCTTTGGCTCTGGGAGGGGCAGGGGCTTCCTTCTTTAATTTAGGCTCCATCTTTGTGAAAAGGACATGCTTCTTTTATGTTTCATTTAGTGTCTACTAGCTTGATCTCTACTTCCTATTGACCACGGGGATCTTATAATCTAAGGGGGAATTATACATACATATGTATATATATATCATATATGTGTTCATACATATATACTAGAGAGTAATCCAGTGGCAGTAAAAAGGGAGTGTGACACATTATAGTATGTACATTCTAAACAACTGTGTCATCCTACATACTCACTGCCTTAGTTAAAGACTGTGTCTGATTTAAATGTTTGGATATTGGTCCCTAATCGTCTAAGTAAGTAAATTATATCCATTCCGTATTAAATCACTGTTTTCCTTTGGCTTATCTACTATTTAAAAATAGCGGTTCCAATTCACTATTTTGAAAACTGGTAAATAAAAGGAGAGAATCAAGCATTTCCCCTCCCTTTCCCCCTATGAATTATACTTCCAAGTTATTAAATACCTGACTTAGGAAAGTTCCTTTTTATTGAAGAATGCCAGCTCTAATAGCAGAATGAGAGAATTAGGGTATCTCTGTTTTGTAAACTCTAATAATAAAGAAATGGATCAGCAATGGCTGCTGAAACAATTAGATGGGAAATTGGCGGGGAGCTTTGTAATGGATGGGTCAGGCCGGCCGCTCCGGGACCAGCAGCCAGTCTCCTCGCAGAGCGTGGGAATCAGTGTCATGCCGCTTCAAGCAGAACTTGGAAACCCCATCCGTGCTGAGAGCACCCCCGTGTTCTAGTTGTTTTAGTGCATCGACGTACCTTAAAAACTCCAAAAGGCAGAGTTTTAATTTTCGCTTTAAATTTTCAAATGTGTTTTAAAGATGTCCAGAGGAGAAAGCTAGGAGAAGGATATTTGCCCAGGTAATTACTATTTTGGTTGCTCTTCCTTCTTTCCTGAGGTCCCAAGTCTCCTTGTGGTGTCATTTCCCTTCTGTCTGGAGGACTTCCTGTAGCAGTTCTTCTACAGCAGGTCTGCCGGCAGCAGGTGCTCTCAGTGCCCCCTCGCCTGAGGATGGCTGTGTTTCACCGTCATCCCTCCAGGATGTTTGCACTGTGTGTAGAACTCCGGGTTGACAGCTCTTCTCTCTGAGCACTTTCAGAATGTGGTGCGGCCCCCCACCGCCCCCCAGCCCCCCCCGCGCCTGTGGTTTCCGACGAGAGAGCTGTGCTCGTTCACACTGTTTCTCCGTGGGGAATATGTCATTTTTCTCTGACTAGTTTGCGGGTTTTTTCCCTCAGTTCTTAGCAGTGAGATGATTGTGTGCCTGGGTATGCGGGTTTCTCTGAGTTCATCCTGCTTAAGGTTCTGTTGGAATCTGCAGGTTTTCATCTTTTGCCATGCTGTTGTTTCTTCAAATATTTTTTTAAGAACTGCACTCTTTCTCCTCTTCTCATGGGATTCTGATAGCAACTTCAGATCTTCCGTTAGACCTTCCTGCATCCTTCAGGCCCCTCAGGCTCTGCTCATTTATTAACCAGTCTTTTTATCTTCTTCTTGTTTAGATTGGGTAATTTCTATCTTGTCAATTTTACTTTTTTTCCTAGTCAACTTTCAAGCCCACATGCTGTGGTTTTTTTATTAATTTGGTTACTGTATTTTGTTCTAAAATTCCTTTTTGTTCTTTTGTATCTTCTGCTTTTTGCCTAGACTTTCTATTTTCCATTTGTTCCAAGAGTGTTTGTAATTGCTTGTTAGAGCATTTGTGTAATAGTTGCTTTAAAGTCTCATCACATAATTTCAATGTGTCTTATTTTGGCATTGATATTTGTTCATTATCTTTTGCCATGAGAACTGAGATTTTCCAGATGGCAAGGAATATTGATTATATTCTTGATATTTTGAATATTATGTGTGACATTCTGGGTTTTATTTAAACCTACAGAGAGCACCTAATTTTTTTTTTCAGGAGGCAAATGACCTTGTTAGATCAGAACACAAGTTCCTGACAGTCCCCCAGGGGGCTGCGGCAGTTTTCCAGTTATTTTTGCAGCGCTGTTTGGATCTGTCCTGCACGTGCACCTCCCCGTGGTCAGCCTGGGCTGGGCAGTGGCACGCGAGTTCAGTTCTCGTCTGTGGTGGGCCGTCAGGACCGCTGCTGTGCCCGTGCGGCGTGGGGGCCAGCCTGGGAGTTGAGGAATGACTTCAGGGGTTTGCTTCCCCGAGTGCTTCCCTGTCCGCGATCTCTCTGACGCATCCCAGTTTCCTGGGAACCCGAGAGGGGAGGAGACACTACCTGTTCAGGGGTTGTTCGAAATTTGGTCTTCTTCCCCAATTGGCCTGCTCCAGTGTTTCTTTTCAGAATCTGGAAACAGCTGCTGCACGTGCCACGTGTTTCCCATCCAGGGTTTGTTTGGTTTTTATTTCTGTTGTTTTGCTGCATTCGGTGGGAGAGCCAGGGGAGTGTTGACTGCATCTGACCTGGAATTGAAACCTCCTCCAGGTCAGTTTTAGCATCACAAGAAAAGAGACAGTCAGGTGTCATCCGCCTTCTGATGTGACCCAGCAAGAACACATGTCACCGCCATGATGTGCTCTTTTTACCCAGAACATCCAACCTGAATCTGGTGGAGCCCATAAGTCTTAGTCAGTTTGGGCTGCTATAACAACACCATCGACTGGGTCACTTAAACAACAGAGACTTACTTGTCACAGTTCTAGAAGTCCAAGATCCAGGGTACCAGCATGGTCAGGTTCTTGGTGTGGGCCCTCTTCCAGTTTACGCCCTCACGTGGCCCTCCCTGGTGCGTGCGCACACAGGGAAACCCCTCGGATCCCCCTGTCTTACAGG